GCTGGAGTGGAAACAAAGTAATATAAAAGTAGACAATTTATGGTAATTATACAACAAAGAAACCACAAATACCGATTTGCTCATTTGTGGTAGCGGTACGACAAATAAGGTTACAAAATATTGAAAAGAAGCACTCACAAATGAAGTAAAAATCATAAATCAACTACAAGAAACATTAAGAAGCAAATATTACATAGAGAAGCCAATCTTCTAAGCAACCGGGATCACCAAATAGGAAAATTTACAAACTTGACAAGTCTTATGGTGCTGCTGCATATGGAAACTTCATGGAATTGGAATTTTATCATGATGGAAAGAAAAGGACATCGGAAGTATTCATTTTTACTGTGAGTAGCTACTGCTTCTAAGCAGATTATACATTGAATTAAGTAAAATTCATACTGTCCATTCCATACAAGCTTATTTGTTGTCTAAATTAGCTTTTCAACGGCGCACATTCATATTAAATAAAAAAATATCGAATGATGATGGCCGCAAGCCGTTTACCGAATATACTCGTTTGTACTAGTCGATCGAGTGGAGTAAATATTGTGTTGTAAGAATGGACCGGAAGGTAATAGAACTAGTCTGTACAAACAAACAAGCAAGTTACACATTTAATCAGTACATCAAATTAAGTAACTGTCAAAAGGTCAAATAGACTGCGGTTATTATTGGATAGCGAATAATTAGAAATCGGGAATGTTTAAAATTGCGAGGTTAGATCGTAGGCAATTTACTCTTACAGTTGAAAAAAAAAGGGGGATGGTTATAGTATTAACGTAACATCCTACCGAAAAGTTTTATTTATTAATGTACTATTTAATTGTTTTTCGAGATGCACTAATGTATAATTAGTTAACGTAAAATGTGAACTTTGTGCTCAATATCGGATACCGAGACGAGCAGATCTTCACTGGAAGGCGATAGTTGCCTATGTGTAAATAAAATAACTGTAGATCCGAGTAAAAACAAGAAAAAAGTAAGAGTTTGACAAAGAAAAACTGAACTTACTGTAATGAAATGTATTTAAATAGTTAGAAGTTTTTGAATACAAATTGAACAATTCAAACTTCTAGATATTAAAAGTTAATCAAATATTTCAAATTCATCAGACATATATTTTGGTTACAACATCTGGTGTGCCAGAATTGAATTTTCAGGTGGAATTAGACTATCATAGAATATTAATTTCTATGCAAAATACCAGTTATTTTTGAATGTTGCATGATGACCACCAGTCTCACAAGACTGCAACGGCAGAGGGTAAGAAAATTGCAGTAAATTACTGTGAATTATAACAACCAAGTTATATTCAAACTTTTGTACACATATTCTGTGGAAAAGGTTGGTTTAAATTAAAACATTATGATTTGTTATTCGTGGTTTACATTAAATTTGTTCAAAATTATAAAAAAGTTATTCTCAAAAAAAAAAGAGAGGGAACTATGTGGGATAGATGAAGATCTACATGGATCATAAGTCTTTCCAGATTCGTCATGATAAGTGGATTTAGGGTTTGAAAAACCATAATATTTAATTTACAGGTGATTTAAATATTAACCATTATTTTTTATTGTAGCTCAACATCACATAAAATGTTAAATATCATAAAGGCTATTCTCAAAAATAAAAATTGCTAAGTGTGACAGGTGTACATCCGTTATTTTTATATGGTTTGGTGGATATGAGAAGGCAAAATGAAAATAAAACAGTAAATACGATTCATCCTAATATTTAGGTACTTGAAAAATAGTTTTTCTCTTACAGGAGTATCTTTTAGACTAGCAAGACTTAAAAATGTTAAGCGAGTCATTTACAGTTTGGTGAACCTTAGTATCTCCGAAAGTGTGAGCACTCTGAGGTTACTGGCAAGTTTAAATTTAGTTCTACAGGTCCGGACATTTTGAGCACAGTACAAGCTGCGTGAAGAATCTTGAGAGCAAGAGATAGTTGCAGGCAGACGAGAGTCAGTCATACAAACAAGATGTTTATACTGTACCAGCTGATCCTCAGTGGCCGCAGTATGGACAGGAGTACGGACGATAGTAAGTGAGTACAGTACACACACAAGCTATGTAAGTTTATTTGTTTTTAATAAGTTAAAACTGAATAAAAAAGAATAGAGCGTTGGTGGCTCAGTGGTTTGAACACTTGACTTGTAATCTACAGGTCTTGGGTTCGAATCCCGCCGCCATGTACCAACGTGATTTTCGATTTTTCGTATTTTTATATGTACATAATTTACGACGTTCTTACGGTGAAGGAAAACTTCGTGATGCAACCTGCACATGTCGGAGAAGAAATTCAAAGATATGTGTGAAGTCAACCAACCCGCACTTGGCCAGCGTGGTTTGACTATGGCCTAGTCACCCTAACTTTAGG